TAAAGTAATCCTCAAGAAATTTAAATATAAATATATTATTTTAGGGTCATTCATTTAAAAACGGAAAATTGCCTTGATGTAGCGTATGCGTACAATTGTATTCACCTCAAGTGTTAAATACATGTATTTCAATGAATTCTACCTAAATACGCATTGCGTATAAAATTATAAAATTAAACAATTTCAACAAGAACAATGCGTATTTTGGATTTTTTGTTTTTTTGAAAATAGAATTCCAGTCTGTGAAAAATTAATTTTTCTAGGCATGCAAACAATTTTCGATTAAATAAGAAAATGTTTTCGTCCATTTTCGCCGTTTTCAATTACACAGGCAAATAAGGACCTTGCGTATTCAACACACATGAAACAATTTTATGAAATTGTATTCTAACGTGTCATAAAGGATCCCACAGCTTGGAGATAATTCCTCCAAATAAAAGCGCCGTCCATTTGTTGACGTTGTTCGATTCTTTGCCAAGTAGTGGTCGTAAAATTAATCTTCGATAGCTTGGTCCTTTATATGTAATATATGTCAATATTTTTGACGGTCTATTTCTTTTTCTTCTCAAAACTTAAAAAAATCTAATAACTGCAGTATTTTCATGTATTTGAAGGTTGATTGGAAAAGGGAATCAACTTTTACTTAACATCAACATTATCTATATAATGAATTACTTTACAATTTAAATTTGTTCAGTTTACTGTCCCTACAGACGTCGCATTTTTGAATGATGAAATTTTATGTACTTTTATGTATCGACTTAGATTCATCCATTACATATTTATATGTCATTCTGCAACCTATACTATACTTTTTCATTTGAGCCGTTTGTTTCCAATGGGGTAAAATTATGTAAACGCGACCTGTACTTTCTTTACAATTTAACATGGAGAGATGTACGGACATGCATAAATCGACTCAGAAAGTGATTCTATGCACATTTTCAAAAGGAATAATGTAACTATATCGTTTCCTTTTGCATGATACAAACATATGTACAAAGACATAATACGTTGTACCACAGTTTGGTTAGGGGAATAACAAATATATGTATGAGTGGGGACAGCCCTGATTTAGTCTCAATTCAGTTTTCTATGCTAAATTTATTATTGAAAAACGTCTTCTATTAATTATTTTCATTGCAAAGTGTCTACCAATTTGGCTTTGTTTCCTAACTGATTTTGCGGCATTTACAAAATGTTCTAGAGTAAAACATATGTACTTCTTTTTCACGTCGGTGAAGAAGGTCAGATATAAAACACTTCAATCAAATGCATTTCCATACATTTGTCTTTGTATTGGGTCATAAACACCTGGTATGGCCATCCCGTTGAATTGGTTAAACGTGCACCATAATAATGAATCACAACAATTGCTACGAAATGTACTACAATTAAATTAGTTGATACAGACATAAAGTTGGGAACACAAAAAATTCGATTCACAACAACAACAACAACAATAGCAAAACAGACTGAAATACAATATTTGTTGTTGCTGTAGTTGTTGTATGACGTGGGTGTGGGTGACTGACTGACTGACTGAATGGATGGACATGACATCCGTTAAATGCATCATCAATTGAATGACATTAAATCCGACTATGACAACCACATGACATGACATAAATGTGGTTAGCAACAGACAAAAAGACAGGCCACCGCCATCAACATGTTCAAAGGCAACTTTGTTTGATGGCAAAGCTGTAAAAATGCATTGTTATGGTCATTTTATGACTTGGTAACTTTTGACTTTGGTCCATTGTGATTGAGTGCATGAATTAATTCGCTTTGTATGTGTGCGAGTGTGGGTATGTGTCTATGGAGTATGGAGTATTACTTCAGCGACTAAGCAGAAACAATTCACTGCATTTGACTGAACACAGCTGCACTGCACTGTAACAGGTAAGTGGAAATTTGCCATTATAACACACTCTTGTTTCATTCTTTCTCATTTAATAAGCTATACCTACATAGTCGGACCGGGGAGTACGTACTAGTAATGTAGGATTTAGAGTATTTGAATTTTGAATAACTATTTTAAGAACTTTTATTGAATACCAAACCAACCAATCAAACATTTAAAGCATATTCCTTAAAAAAAAAAACAAGAAACAAGTAAACAATTCATATTTGGTCCCCATACCAAATCTTTTCGAATATGCCATACAAAATCGGATTTTCCCACAAAAAAAATTAAATTAAATTTCAAAACCAACTATCTCTCTCTTATCGATGGAATGTAGTTAGTTGTCATTACCATGTGACTGTGATCTGAAGAACAGATATTCGCTGATCCAAATGTGGACGTCAGCACGTCGTGCATGCCATTGCCCTGCCATGGTGGATCAACGAATCTCTGTTCGCATTAAATGTACACCATATTGCAAGAATTGATCGATTGGCTGCATCTTGTGTGCCGACGCACCTCATATGTCGCATACATTAACACAATATAAAAAACAAAAAACAATGTGTAAAATTAAAGTTCACATACATTTTGAGTTATGGTGGTGCTTTCTACTGAGCCCCTTTGAAAGGAATTGAAAATTGTGTCATGTAAACGATCGACATGCATATGTTCGATGAATGGACCGATGCTCGCCTGATTATGCCCGATACACATATAAAACATTGAAATTGTTGCATTTGTGTTTTGTTTGTGTATTAATTGTATGCATATGTATTTGTAATTTGCATCAAACAACTAATCAACAATAACAACAAACTAAATAATTAATATTTGTACATTTTACACTGTAAAAACAATAACAACAACAACAACTAAATATCTGATAAACATTGTTGCAATGACATTTTCTTACAACAAACCTAACACACTAACCAAAAACAACAATAACAACAACAATGAAAGCAAAATAAAACATCTTTACTAACACACTCACACATTTTGCATATTGAATAACGTCATGACCGCCACACACCAATACACGCTCACCTGCTATTTTCTCAACAGGTGGAAAAGAAGGTAAATCATTTGGTTGCAAAAGATGTTTTTATAAATATCGTTTCTTCTTTTATTGTTATTGTTATTATTATTTTCAAAATTATATAAATTGTTTAAATTCCCTAATCGCATTTAATATCCGGTGAGATAATACAAACATTTTGATTATCGTACCCTCAGGATGTTCAATTTTAATTAATTTATCTCGAAAATGTAAAATATTTATACTTAAAAGACTACGTAAATTCAAATATAAAATTTACATTATGTCAAGGATTATGACGAATTTATTTAATTATCACCAGTGCTTTTAGTATTGGTAAAAACATAATGTTGATCACAGCACCTATGGCTAACACAAATCTGCAACATGGAATGGAAAATCACTCATGATGTATGACTCCAGTTTAATAAAGAAACAAAAAAATTAGGAACATTCAACCGAATTTATCGAGATCTAAGGTTTCTCCAAAAACTCTGGAATGCCTATTCATACATCTAAAATTCACATATATTTAGATCTTTAATGTACATTCTTTGAATTTTGGAAATTTTATTCGGAAAATAAGACATCATGTAAGTCCAGATAATGTGTTAAGGAAATTTGTATGTCCAATTTTGACTGATAAATAAGTCCAAATATATCGTTTTACCTATGAAATATATGTATATCTTCGTCGCTATCAAGTCTAGCCTTTTAGGTAATACCGAGAATAACTTATGATTTTACTTCAGTAAATATTCAAAATAAGTTATTAATTTATAAAAATAACAAACTTTTGCAACCATTGCGAGTTTTTATACCGGATTTTCCACAAATTTTTAATTCCAATTATTTCTGTAAGCAAATTCATTATCATTTTCAATTAATTGATATCTGTAATTTTTGTTCAAATTTGTGTTTAAATTGATTGTAATTTTATTTACATATTTTTTTAATTTTGTGTTTCTTTGATTAATAAAAGAATCGATTACAAAACAAAAATTATTAATTACATTGAAATTAAACTGTATCTTATTAATCGATCATATGTTTCTTTTACTTACTATTCCATACAAATCCAAATTGTTTATTCTCCATTCCACACAAAAATAATAAAAAACTTCAATTGCAAACCCCCACGGAAAATAAAAATATGAAATTAAAACAAACAAAAAAAATAATAATAAAAATCATAAAAAAACAAAATGAATGAATAACAACAATAATATGACACTCGACATCATGGTCGTCTTTCATTCAAACGAAATCAAAACGAAATAATTAAAAATGCATTTATTTGTCTGTCGGATGGCACACAAACTACATGGCTACATAAAATATATATACACACACACATGCATAATGTGCGCCACTCATCCAATGTCATATTGTACGTTCGCTGTCACTGTCCGTGTATGCGTGTGACGCATTCAAAATCACATTAAACAATAATAACAACAACAAAAATAATCATAAATGCGTAATGGATAAAAACTAATCAAAATCTGCTCTAAAATAAATAAAATGATAATCATCAAACCAATAATAACCAAAACCATGACAACAACATCAACAACAAAATGCAAACAAACGCCAACTACCAACCCATCGTCATCATCAACGTATGGCAACAACGACAACACCAACATGAACAATAACAACAAACAAACAAAAAACCAATCAACAACCGAACCACCTTAACTACAAATATTGCCAATTTCATAATAACCATAAATCAATAACTAACCAATCAACCAACCAACCGACCAATCAACCAACCCTCAATATCATCATTTTCAAATCGAACTATCCAATCCAATCCCAAATCCAAAATCTAAATCCAATACAAAAAATATATATTTATCCACATACATATATATCTGTATATTGAAAAACGAAAAACCTCAAAACCAAACTCAAAATAAACTCAAAACCTGAAAACATGAAACGAATAATAAATACTAAAAATAATACCACCATCACCGCTGCGTCCCCACTGTTATCGATGGATGTCGTTGGATGTAATGTTGTCAACGTTGGTACAAACAGGCGCAAGACTACAACCCTTAAATACGATCCACCCTATACCAAGAAGCCAATGGCCAAAGCATACGGTGGACCACCAGCCACTGCCCCCAATCATCAATCAGTGGAAGAGATCTCCCAAGATGGTTCCAATAAATTAAATGTCTACGAAAATCAATCAGGTTTCACGTAAGTATTTCAATCAAATTATTCCGTATACAATTGCAGCAATCCAAGCCAAACATGTGAATTTTGAAAAATCGCTGCAAATTATTTTGAGATTTTAATATGTTTCCAAAGCTAGCTATCTTAATATATTATGTTATTTTCACAGAAAACTGCACATATCAGAAGAGCTAATCAACTTACACACCAATATCGACCATAATTTAAAATTCAGTACCATTTATAAACTTTGTATTCTTGTAGTACGTATTTCTGAAACTACCTCCATATCTCAACACTGCACACCAATTCTGACCGCCACAGAAATTTAGTTTTATGCTAAATGTGGTACCATTTATTACCCACTTTCAAATATAGATTCACCTAAATCCAAATTTAGAACCTCGGTCGTTACACTCAAATCCAAATTGTACCAACTTCAGTACCATTTCCAAAACTTCCTACATTCCCCAGTCATACACTTCAACACCAATCTTAATTTCAAATTCCGGATACAATCTAATAGAAGTCATACTTCCCAATTTAGGATTTCAGCTCTATCGGTTCACCAAATTATATCATAATTTTAGTATTATAGCTCTATCCCATCACCCAAATGTAAATTGCGTCAAACATAGTACCATGTAGTACTTTTCGTACACATATGTACAAATTTCCTAAACATATCCCAGTCCAACAATCCGACGGTAATGTTAAGTTAAAATTTTAGGATCCCAGCGCCACTCATTCCTCCAAATTCAAATTGTACCAAATTTTGTACTGCTTAGTACTTTTCGTACACATGAGCACACACTTCCAAGACCACCTCCTCATATCGACCCTATTTCTCGATTTTGATTCGCATTCTAAATTTCATGTTATTAGCTCTATTCGTTCACATGCTGCGAAATTGACCCTATTTCTCGATTTTGATTCGCATTCTAAATTTCATGTTATTAGCTCTATTCGTTCACATGCTACGAAATTGTACCGAATTAAGTACATTTTAGTACATTTCAGATACATATAGTTCAAATTTCCTTCATACCAAGTTTAAAAGTTCTAGCTCTGCCGGTTCGCCAAATACAAATTGTACCATATTTAGTGCCGTTCCAAATTCGAATTTCCCAATGCAGGTACAATGAGAGTATCGGCAAGGGATATTTTAAGGGCAACATACAAAACCTTAAATTCCAAATTGCATTCAACTTTGGCTAGCAAATGTGACTAAGATTCACAAAATATATAAAATCGGCTGGTGCCTCTGTAACCTTAAATTTCCAACTTACATACTTAACGGAATGTTAAAATCCTACATCAAGGGAAAATCAACATAACCTCAAACATTTATATCGGGAAGGAAAATTTTACTTAAAACCAAAATCGCTATAACCTAAAATGAGATTATAAAATTAAGTTAATTATAAAATTAAGTTAAGTCTACCAGGACCCATTCTAAACTGTAGTGACATAATCTTGAGACTCCTAACAACACACCAATCTAAGCATCCAATAAATTTCTTTAAATTATATAGGTATTTTAATAAATTATTCAATTTCCTGGTAAAATAGATAGATTACCTAGTGCCATCAATCTTCTCAAGACATATTTAAATCAGTCTAACAAGACTACTCCGGATTAGCTATTTGCCAACGAGACATTTGCCACTAAATTCGTTTAGGTTTTCATAATCCCAATGTATCAAAGAACTAAATTAAAATTTTTCGATTTACTAAAAATGTGGAAGAAAACTGAAAAAAATTTAAAAAAAATATTTACAGTGTTATTAATTTTTCCTAAATCTTAAGACCTTAATTGAATTTATTATTTATATTGACTTCGAATACTACTATACTATACCTTTTTTAACCATATAATTTGTTTGTTCTTTTGCAGACGTGACAAGAGCATTCACAGTCGCCGTTATACGGCCGATGACGATCACCAGCATTCAGGTAAACTTGACTTCTGTCTCATATACCTATAAATAGTGCAGATAGTGTTTTTCGTTGTTATTTACCAAACACATAAATCCATAAACATATAAATTCTGTCTCTATAATGTGTAACTGTTCTACATTTTATACAAACAGACATAAACAAAACAAAATAATAAATATTTATTAATATAACTAGTGAACAAATTATATACTCGTATATAAATTAGTTAAACTTTGTTGGCGTTCAATGTTTCCTGTGTATATTTTATCTGATCAAATATTGTATAATTTTTATTTGATTTGTGTGTGTGTATTTGTGGATTTTGTTTCTATTTAAGAACAAAAACATAATCGTCAGTTGGTGTACACATTTAACGAACAATTTTATTTATAATACAATTTTAATTTATTTGAAAAGGCAAAACCATATTTAATTTTAATTTCAATACAGAATTGAATTTAATCAAAAACATTTAAAAATGTTTACATTTATTTAAATATTAAAATCAGTTTTAGTCCCTCCCATTTTACCCCAGCCAAGGCCCTCGATTCCAGAGTTAAACTAATATCGAATTGTGATTTTTCAATCGAGGGACGAACATTCGCATAATTACAGTATTCATTGGTATGCTAGTTAAATACAGAATTTTATACAACTTGGTACAATATTTGTTGTCTACGAAAAAAAAGTTCATGTTATGCTAAGCAGCTAAAAAATGTCCAAAACGAATTGTGAAACAACATCATGATATGCTAACTCTTAAATTTGTGATCACAGACCAAATAATAACTATCGAATAATAATTCATGAATAAATTACTAAGAAAATTATTATTTTATTCTTTATTAATTATTATTTATATTTATGTGTTAATATTTATTATTTAATATTTTGTGTATAACATATAAGATACAGCACAACTGACGAATTACGTTGTTATTATTTTAAGCCCCAATGTTATTTTTTCGAATTTTGTTCAATTATTATTTTTTTGTTTTAACTTGAAATAAAGTCTGTGCGAATGAATGTCCACCTAAAGTAGTGTGTTTTTCGTAGTGAGTCTTTCTTTCTTTCTTGGTTCGTGTTCTCAACTGTAATCAATCACAAAATGGTTAGTATAGCAGGTGGTTATTCAGTTATTGTCAGTCTAAATATATAAATGTGCTAGATAAATAAACAAAACAAAAAAAAAACACTACATACTCGTATTACATACATACATGTTTAGCAGTTTGCTCCCGAAATTAATATTTAAATTCATTATGTGTCCTGTTTTAAATGTTTTATTGTGCTAACGGAATGTTGTATGTTAATTGCATAAAAACGAAGAGTTCAAAGGAGGATACAAACGAACATTTCGTAAAAATTACCAAAACAACGAGTTACACAAAAATCTTAATGAGTTCCGTGGCTTAGACGTTGTGCATCGACAAGTTTTGAATTGAAAATGAAAAATGATTCAAATACTCACGATTCCAATTGAAATTCTGCACTTCAACTGTTTTTTGCACTTTGGCTTAGAGAGTTATTTTCAATTTTACCGGACATTTGTTTTGTCTATGTTTAAAGTTTATATTTCTAATTCTACTTTGCGCACTCACACATATACTCACAGCTGCACACATGCACCCACTATGTCTGTTAACATGAACGTCAACAAAGAAAACGAAGATTAAATCTAAGAAAAACGAAAACAATGAAACACTTGAACATTTGTAAATACTTCTCTTTCTCTCTCTCTCTCTGCATACTTCAAAACATTTCTTATAAACGTCAAGAAAAGGGTAATTTATAAAGTCATTTTATTGGTTTTTATGATTTATTTGTCGGGCAGTTAAGACATAGAAAAATAAAAACAAACATTATTTATTAATTTTTTGACAAGCTACTAACATTTTCAATAATTAAAAAAAAAAGTAATTTTACAGTTTTATGAAATTGAATTAATCCAACGTCCAATATTTATCATACTAATCTAAATATAAAAAAGTTTCCTAAAATATTTTATTATAATGCTACATATATAAATATAGAGATTCTAAGATTGTTGAAATTTAAATATAGTTCGACATTTCAAACTTTAAAGGAAGTGGACAAGAAGTTTATAATGAATTTGCTTTGCCTTTGTATAGATCTTCCATAAATATCAACACAAAATAGTAGGATAACGGTGATGGCTAAACGCGTGTTCTCTTTTTTGTCTTTTCGTCAGTCATTTATTGATGATTATCTCTCAGCTACGCTCTCACTCACTTACTCTCAATTTAGTTCTGCTCTAGATCCATAAACATAAAACTTAATGTAAAAAAATATCTGTTCCTAGAATTGTTGTATGTTGGGTCTATGTAGCCATCATTCGTAGACATCTTCTATTTTATATCTTTTAAATCATGTTAATTCTTCGGTGACTGGTAGTAAAATTCACATAAAGTCCATTACTTATATAGGAGATTTTCAGATATAGTACAAAAAACGATTATATCGTTGACAGCTACTTGCGATTCTTTTTTATTTTTTTTAAATTGTCCATATGTCACCGAATCTCTTTGAAATAAATTAGTTTTCAATGAGTATATTTATATCAGACATTCATATTAGAAATTTTTATTATTTTGTTTCATGTTTCTATTTTTGAAATATTTGAACTTTATAAATTACCCTCTTGTTGAGCATACCGGTATGACACAATGACCAAAACAATTCTCCAACTCCTCCTACTTCCACTATTTCACAGAAAAAGGTATTTTGAAGAAACACGGCTATGGTATGGTTCACAGCGGTATGCATGACGATGGACAATCGGATAATATGGAATTGATCGCTCAGGACAGCACAATGGCATCGACTAGCAATGCTGCTGTCTCCGAGGTAGAACGCACTCTCAAATCGCTTAACGGCTATCATGAAGATATATTGGAAGCACTACGTAATGCTGCTTCACATCGCGGCACTGGCACCGGCAATACACCCGTCGGCACTGGCAGTCTGAGCGAAGAAATGATACGCAAAACACTACAGGAGTGTGCCTCGTCGCAATTGGGCTACTCCACCGAACCTTACAAACGTTCGGCCAGCTCCAAGAATAGTTCCCGGGAGAACATTTGCGACCAGGGTGCTCAGCACACCCTGTTGGATATGTCAGGATCGGGTATGGGTGGTCCACACGGTGGCGGACCCATTATGCATCACCATCGATCCCAGCATCAGCTGCACCAGCCGCTTGTGCAGCAGCAATTACCGCCCGACGACGAGGATGCACCAGCCACGGGGCCATTGCGTATACGCAACCTCGAAGACCTCATACGCCAGCTAGAACACCATTCGTCGCGCCACATGAGTCCCAGCGGCTCAGAGGACATACGGATTTCGGAAAACGAAGGCGACCGCCTCTATAGATTAGATAGTTCAGCCGCTTGTAGTGAATCCTCGCAAGGGTTAGTAACTAACTGAGTAATGTGCTTGCTGCATCATAATTATTGTGTTGGGGCTGTATTGTAGGTGTCTATTTTTTGGCATAGATATACTCGTACTCGTACATAAAAAGAGAACGCTTTCAAATGTTATACTTATTTAGGAATTGATTCATTGATTGAATGATTACTACTACTAATACAATAATAATAATACGCAAACATATAGACATGTTTATTAAGAGTTGTGCAACCCGCTTTCAACAAAAACAAATGGGATTCTTGCGAAGCCGAACTTTGTTGTTGGCAGCTGATGAACAAAACAACGAATCATTGCGTTTTGCAAGCGACAATTGGACGGACCACGACAAAGTTTTGCCTCGGCAAGTCCCAATACTAAATGCTACAATATCCCCTTACTATGTAAACACAGCATACTTAAATAAACCAAAATAAACCAATTACCAAGTACCAGTTACCAAAACTAATACCAAAACCACCAAATGTATTCGTATGATAGAATTCAGAATCAGATCCATTCATACGTACACATGCACCCAATCCGAACTAAACTCTGAATATGAACCAATTTCTAAAATCTCTTACAGACTATCGCTATGGCGTGGAATACCTTGTGTGATGAAGGTAAAGGTACAAAAGAAGGGAGCGAAAGGGCAACCGCTCGCACGCACAAAACACTCTCTATCTCACACACACACACGCATACACATCGATGTATGTATGAAAAGAAAAAGAAAACACTGAATACAATACCACCCCTAAATTGAACAGGAACAGTGGGCTTCTCTCTCAATAAATGTGAATTGGCTATACAAAAAAATAGGCACCTAGACAAAATTGCTCCAATTAGATGCTACCAATGCCGAAATAGTCATTTAGTCCAAAATTTGTATTAATCTAACGATTTTTCTTTTATTTTTCTCCTCCCATTCCTTTATGGCCACATCCTCCCACCCGCAGATCTAATCAGCAATTAGCACAATCGCAAAAAACTGCAACAATACATCCGTCTTATAGCAGTCGTTGTCGACCGCGTGCCGAAGAGGAGTCGAGATTCTCGTATGGAAGGTACAGACATCCCACTACAACCAGTAGACATCCTTCACATCAGTCACACTCACCTCATGCTTTCGGCCATCATGCACATCACTCGCATGCCCATGGCCATGCCACGCACGGCCCGCATTCATCGCATCACTCATCGCACACGCATTTGCATCAGGACGAAGACGGCATCTATGAGAGTGCCGATCCCCACGATCGTTCGATGGTAGACCAACGTCTCGATCCTCGGGAAGTGGCCGACAGTGAGAGGTATGTACGCCCACGGTGGCATTTTGTAGAATAGAACGTAGCCGAAAAAACCCCCATCCCTCCCCGTACATTTTGGGTCAATATTGTTGATGCAACTTTGAACGGCCCAGCCCCACCCCTCAATTCTGTTGTTATAAGTTTTGCCATGTACGAGTGTGTGTGCCGATTTTGTGTATAATTTTGAATCGTTTCTTTTCGTTTATTTCCATCGACACATAAACAAACGACTGTCATCCTGAATGCGAACTGCGCTTTGCATGTGCGCCACCCTCTGCATCGTCATCGTAATTGTGATGGTGCAATGACCAACAATGGACACAACCAACCCCACGATCATCACCTCCACCACCACCACCATCATCATCATCATAATTATTGTTGTTAACATCATGATGAACCACATGACACTACTTTGATTTTCATTTGTTCGTTCGTTCCTTTTTTCGATTCGTTTGGCTTCTTAATCATGTCCTTTCTCATTTCGAAATGAATTTTGTTTTGAAAATATCTTTATCGGTTATGTTTTGATGTTTGTGTTGCGTTACGTTTCATTCCGCTTCGTTGCGTTACCTTTACGTTTACGTTACTTTATCGGTTGCGTTGCTTCTCTCTCAATTTTAATATTCTTCTTGTGTGTTGTGTGGTGTACCAAAACAAAAAAAAACAAAACCAAAACCAAAAACAACATTTATTTGTTTATTTGTGTTTTCGTTACTCCGTGTACCGTTGTTCCTGTTATGATTATTATTTTCTAGTGATGACTTTATTCAAGCTCAACAACAGTTAGCCCGATGGGCGAGTGAGGATGTGGTATCCGTCGTGGTAATGGAGCAGCAACCGTTAGCCGGTACAACAGCGGATTCCCAACAATCCAACGGCGGCGGACACACATCGGGGACGGCATCAGCGAATACCGTTATCCACCACCACCAGCATCAGCACCAGCACCACGGCGATCATCCATCCTCGGTGGGAGCGGCCAATACAACCTCATCGTCAGTCAATGCCCATATGGCAGCGAATATGGCAACCGTACCAAATGGCATCGTTGTAAGTCAGAGGGACTACTACCCCTCGCCACCCTCCACGGAGACCGAAAGCAGTGGAAGTGTTATCCAGCCACTCAATCGTCGCTACACGCTGCAGGGCGATTCAGCTCAACAGCAGCTGCAATTGCATCAGCTACACCAACAGCAGCATCAGCACCCCTCCCATCAGCATCAACCACAGCCGCAGCAACAGCAGCAGCTCACCGGCGACAACACCACCACCACCAGCAGCAGCAACAACAGTCAAACCGGTCAAATCATGGAGAATGGTCGTTATCCCGAATATAAGCACTGATAGTATAACACCATCGCCGCCAAACGCAAAGGCACCAAAGTCACCGCCAACAACCACAGCCAGCATAGCTCTCATGCCCAAGCTCAAATTCATCGCCAGGAACTTGAGCCGCCACAGCAGCAGGAACAGTCACAGCAGCAACAACAACAGCATTCACCTCATTGCTATGCCCACAAATTGCAGGCATTACCGTGAAGCAATCCCGATATGTTGCCGAATGCCTAGACTGACTGTCTGCCTGTCTGTCGCAATAAAACTGAACGAATTTCATGCAAAAGCAGCCACTTATATGTCTCCTTCTCCTCCTCCACCCTTAAATCAGTCACTCACTCTCTCTGTATCTATCTGTCTAACCGCCATGTGATGCTTGCCACTCTCATTCGGATCGAGATTAATGTATATACGAGGTGCACATTCACAGTCAACAAACATTCCTACAACTACAACAACATGCATTAAGAAAACAATACATGGATCCACTGCAGCAACATCTATATTCTAAACAAACCAAACTCGATTAGTTATCTTCAAAATAAGAGAAAGAAAAACAAACAAAAACAACAACAAAACAAAAGTAAAAAAACAATAATAATAACACTAAAAAAACAAAAGAAAATATTGTGATTTTATACAAAGTAGACGATATTCATATTTTAGTTTAAACAAAAACAAGTAAAGTATTAAATTTAAAGAAAACAAATCTTTAGAAGAAATTTAACGAATTGATTGATAATGGCCAACAACACCACCACCACAAAATCCCCATCCGGCTCATCCTGAAAAATCAAAAAAAAAACCATTGTGAACATTTGAAGGCAAACGTAACTGGTATCATGCCAAACACGCATTACTATTAGCACGCACACACACGCACACCTTTGCCATGTTATCCTTGTCAATTGAATACTCCCTGTGTGCGGGTGTGTGTGTGTGTGCATGGGTGACATTTGCCTTATAATGACAAAACAATGCAATGGCTCAGAACAATTACTTTAGGCTAGTCAAACAAAACGTCCCCATTTTCCAGTTCCCCGCCCCTCTCATCGCGTACACAGTGTAACCTGTTGTAAGCACTAGATAGATTACATATTCCTCGATGCAATTCTATGCCATTCAAACTTGTTTAATTGCAGGAGTGCATTATACACCTTAGCCGAGAGCGCTCTAATTGAGCACGCTCAACACACGCGCACACACAGAGTTTCTTAAAGTGTGAACTCTTCCGACTGATAATTCTCAAACAGAGAGCCAATGATATACAAAATGAGTTCCTCGGATTCTCACTGTGTGTTCGACATCCAATTTGTTGTGGTTCAAACTGAAATAAATGGGTATTTATATAAAATAACCGCATTCTCTAAATAAATATCGATGTAGATATCGACTTTCGTATTGTCAGAATGAAAATGAATACAATATATGTAATAAGAAGTGCTAAAAATTCTAAAAATAAAGAAACCACTTTAAATTTATGCGATTTGATTTTTCTCCATGGCTGTGGAGTCTCGAATACAATCGAAATTTTGATCTATTATTTCAATATCATCATGTTTTTGAACGGTATTATATTGGATGTTTTTTGAAAAATATAATTGTGGATGGAGTCTGGCTCAATTTTCGAAATCTTTAGATTGACCAACTATGACATGGAATCGTCATAATATTCCCATCCATATGTTAGTTCATCAACCCCATTACTGTAATTTGAATTTTGATCCTCTTCCGGGATGTAACATTGGTAGAGGGAAAATTACAAATATTCGACTCTTTTTTTTCATTAAACATCTGCATGGATAAATTCATAAAAAATTGTTCTTGAATTAATGTTAAAATTTTTATATTTTCAACATTAACATAAACAAAATGTCTTTAGAAAATATCTACAATTTTATTATAGTTTGAACCACAACATAAAGCAATTCATTTCTCCCAGTTGCCCTCAGTCCCATGTAAAATATATTTCAATTTATTTAATGTAAATATGTACATACAGAATTACTTTACATAACCCCACCATTAATCCAAATTCCCCCGCCCCTCTCTATTTGACCATAGATAGAAAGTTGTAATATCAATTGAAAAAAACAAATAATTAAAAAAGAAAATAATAATAATAAAATAAAATGTAAGCAAGAACCCCCAATTGAAAACAGGCATACATGTAAACGTTACTTTTAAATGAAGACTGTAAATATGTTATAATGAAATAAAATACTAAGAAATTAAAAATAAAACTGGACACAAACTGGATCTCCATTATATGGTTGGTCAAGTCAGTGGAAGGATACTTCCATCCGTTAAATATCCTCGACACATTTTCATCCCAGCCCCTGAAAATGGCTCCTCCCCAAAAACCAAACAGAAACAAAATAACACTAAAACTGAAAACTGTTGTATATATGCAAAGTGTATGCATTCAGCCATGCCTACTAACGGTACGGTATGATATACTAAGTTAAAATTAAATAAATAAAACACACACACACCCACACAAAATATATAGGAATAATTAAAATTAAAACTGAAAAACAAAACACACAAAGCATGAAGAACAAATGAATAAAATTAAGTGATCTTTTTAAGTCAACAATAATAAAACAGGTACTACATACATACAGTTAGTTAAATTAAAGCACTTAGAAGAACATTAAAAAAATAAACAAACAAAAAAAATATTAAAATTAAAAATAAAAACAATTTTATACAAAACAAAGGCGGAAATTTGAAAAACAAAAATTACCAAAATCAACAACAACAAAAAGACTCGAATTTAAAGAGTTCTGTTAGTAAATTTAATAGAAATTTAAATGAAACAAAAAAAACAACAAAATGAATATTGTAGATAAAATAAAAGCAACAACCAAATGGAAAATAATTCATGCGAAATAAAATAACAACAATATTGAAAATGTCAATTTCTATGAAACACACAACAACAAAACAAACATTCATACAAAAAAAAATTACACACACACGCATCTCATTAATAATTTACAGAAATATTTACACACGCATTACAGCCACACATACACACACAGTCTCACAAGCAACAAAAATCATTGACACAAATCACAGGGCATCAACGTCAACATCACCATCATCATCATTATCGTCATGAGTGTGTTAAATATTAAAAAACAAAATAAGAGAACGAAACAAAAAAATAAATAATTACTGTTTAAAACAACAAAAAAGACGTTGAAAAAGACATAAACAACAACTACTACTACTAGTATTATGGCAAATGCATTGATAATTAAAATAAAATATTTTTAATTTAATAATGCAACAAAACTGCAACATCAACGACATTAACCACACCAACACACAACCAAACAAACAAATAAACACGACAGAATTGCAACAACAGCAAAAATTCTGACCACAAATTCAATAAACTGTAACAGCAACAACAAAAATTACAAAGTTAATTGTATTGCAAAACATACATACCTACATACACATCACTCACACATACACACAAGCTCGCTCATCGAATAACAACAACATGAACCCAGAAAAAAAATCATTGTTAATATAAATCAGTTAATTGTAACAATAATAATAATTCAACAACAATAAAGCCATTTGGCTAAAATAAATAACAACAATAACGATCACCAAACAGAAGAAGAAAATATGAAAGAACACAGACATATGCACACACACACACACACAACAGACAAATAAACAAAACGGGATAGGCAATATGAACGACCCATAACAAATGCGAATTTATCAAGAATAATCATTACATTTGTTTACAACAAAGACGAGAATTACAATGACGATGCTGATAATGAAGTAAATGAAGAGTGAGAGAGAGAGAGGGCAGTTAAAGAAAAAACATCCACACATACATACATTGTCACTCATATATTTTATACCAAAAAAAAAAAAAAAATCAAAATAAAAATAAAAACGAACAAAAAACTAATATGGAGTACAGGAAACCATCAATGTCACATCGAATGTCAAATTCATATTCATATCTATGTACACTAATACTACTACTATACAAATTACCAGTGTGGTTGTATTTATTGGTGTTACAATATTTTAATACTATCTCAACAGAAATCGCAAAATTTGTAATAGAATTTTGAATTGGATATATCAATTCACTTTTTTCGAAGAAGCTTGAATTTTGCATTTCGGATTCAGGACAGATGAAAACTGTCATTGCAGAAATTGTTCAATATACGTTCACCTGGTCCCATATGAAGCACCTGGTCCCATTCCACTTTAGACATTTTACTGGTTCTGTGCGAATATTATGTTTTTGATGGCTGCAAAACTTCCTCGCAACAAATGTTGAATGTAGTTACAAGTTTTGCGAAATTTCTTAGGCGTATTGTCGGTAATTTGGTACTTCGTTTTCTCAGAAGAGGCGATCCCCTCATCATCCAACGGGCGGCATTGAATTCGCCCTCAAACGGTCTAATAACGTAATGTAATTATCGGTACTAATAAATTATGCAATTCATGTTCAAAATACAGGTCGAATTACCACCTCGTATTTTGTTTTGGTTAAATGACAGCATCTACTTTGATAATAATAATCATTAGGTTATGATCGGAAAATCATTTTCATGTAATTTTTATTTTGTTTCAGCGTCATTTTATTACTCTAAAAATCACTTTTTTATGAAGCCACATAATTCTTTTCACTATTTTCCCAATAACAAAAGTTCTTTCATTCAAAATTATACTATTCGCAAACTAATGATAATACAAAGAACCCATATGAATTCGATGCTGCTAGCACCGTGTATGTTCTACGCCATGAAAGTACACGTTCACAGTATAGAGATCAATAATATTTCGCATAAGGTTCAGAGTGGACTCGGACTCACCAAAACTAATCTGATTCCGAATTCCTGCTACGTTTATCAGTTATCATTATGATGTAATTCCTTCCGATTAAAATAAATGTTGTATCTAAGGAATTTATTGAGATGCAAAAGCTTAATATCAGCAGGAAACCCCGAATCAGTATATTTTTTCAATTTTATTCTCACTTTTCATTCACACACACTGGTAACAACAACATCAC